TTCTATTAAAATCTCTTCAATAGCCATGTCCACTTGCCTGCATACCAAATTCCACAGGATGGATATGTCGTTCCCAATGTTCTCCCTTCCGAAACCCGACACGCCATTTCGTCAGTAAAGAAACCAACAGCACCCGGCCCAGACAAGGTCAGACCTGAACACCTGAAGAACCTGCCGTCAGTACTCATCAATACGCTGGCTCGGCTCTTCACACGCTATGTGTCTGAATGCAAGGTTCCATCCCAATGGAAAACCAGCAGGACTGTACTAATGTACAAGAAGGGAGACATCCATGACATTGGGAACTATCGCCCGATCTGCCTATTGTCTGTCATCTACAAGTTGTTCATTCGAGTCATCCTAACTAGGATTGGCAGAACACTAGATGAAGGACAACCATGCGAGCAAGCCGGGTTCCGCAAAGGGTTCAGCACCATCGACCATATCCACACGATAACCAAGCCCATTGAGGTTTCTTGGGAGTTCAGGATGCTGCTCTGTCTAACGTTCATTGATTTAAAGGAGGCCTTTGATTCTGTTGAGACGGAAGCGGTCATTGAAGCCCTAGCCAATCAAGGCATTCAAGCTCAATACATCAAGATCCTCTGTGAGCTGTATTACAGATTCACTACCAGGATCTCACCATTCTACAAAGAAGTAATCATTGATGTCAAGAGAGGGGTTCGGCAGGGTGATACCATTTCACCGAAAATCTTCAGTGCCACCCTCGAGAACATCATGCGACGACTGGAATGGGAAGGAATAGGAGTGAAGATAAGATGGCTGGCAACTACACCACCTCCACTTTGCTGATGACATTGTTTTAATAACACCAAACATTAGCCAAGTGGCACAAATGCTGGCCAACTTCGACCGTGAGTGTGGAAAGGTCGGACTACAGCTGAATCTTTTTTTTTTGTAAGAGGCACATGATGTATTAGACAGTTTTAGATTTAATAATTTAGATTTAATAATTAAAATACATTTTTCTTCTCTTCGATGCAGGCAGTAAAGTCAGGAGACCTGCTGCTACAATATTTGTGGACAGAGATTTGTGCCCCCGCCGCCCATTCCTTGTTGTTTAACTTTTAGTGTTCTTCACTTGCTAAAAATAAACTCAAATCCAGATTTATTTTATTGTGGTGGCAAACTAAATTAAATCAAATTTGTCTTTTTAAGAATGTTTGTTATTTTCCTAAGTTGATTGCCAGTTGTAAATTAGTTCCCTGTTAGGAAAGAAATGACTTTACTTTTTCAGGCTATGTCCTCAAATTGTTCTTCTCTGTCCCTCACAAGCTTCTTTAGAGACAAACTGTGAACGTTCCTATGACTAATTGTGTTCTATGTCTGTCACTGCATTTATAGAAGACTATACAATAGGGATAATCCTAGAATTTCAATGAATCTAACTCATTTTTAGTGTAAATCTAGAGGAAAGGTTGATTTCGTTTTATATACAGCTGAATCTTACGAAGACAATGTTTATGAGAAACAGCCTTGTTCCTGATGCCCCATTCGCTCTCAATGGAAGGACCAAGTCTGAATGCAACAGCTATGTGTACCTAGGTCGAGAAGTCAACATGACAAATGACCTGGCACCCAAGCTGCGCAGGAGGGAGAGAACGGCTTGGAACGACTACAAGAGCATCGAAGAAATAGCTAAGAGGACGAAGAAGCTCCAGCTCTGGGCACATCGCTTTGATTCCACTGTTCTTCCTGCATTAACATATGCCTCAGAGACCTGGGCCCTATGCAAACAGGATGAGAACGCTATTTGGGTCTCCCAAAGAGGAATTGAAAGAGCTATGCTTGGAATATCACGTTTCACTCAAATGAGAGAAAGAATCTGGAGTTCCAACCTCCGTCGACGATCAAGAATCAGGGACGCTGTCTTGTTTGCCAAGGCGTCAAAAATCAGATGGGCTGGTCACGTAATGAGATTTAGAGACGACCGCTAGACTAGAGCTGTTACCAACTGGATTCCACGGGATGTCAAAAGACCGCGTGGCCGCCCACCTACCAGATGGTCAGACTTCTTCATCAAGATCATGAACGATCGGTTTGAGGCTCTTCATGTTCCTAGAACGAACAGAAGCCATTGGGCTACACTAGCACACGACAGGGACAAATGGAGACTTCACTGGCACCTGCTCTAGCAAATCGACGATTAACGGGAAGTCAAGTGGTTCTTTTTATTTTATGTTCCAAACTTCCAGATGTATTTAATTCACCCATATTTTTAATCTCCAAGGTTGAAAAAGCACCTGAAGGTGTGGAAAAAAACTCAAAGGGCTGAAACAATTTCTTCCCACGAAGGAGGCCCCATTTTTTTTTTATTACCTCATAGTTTCCCCAACCACCATCAAGAGTAGCCTTGAATATTTCTGGGTGTGACCAAAAAAAGTTGTGTTATTTTGTTATCTGACTATTGCTTTTTTAAATAGTATCCTATTTTTGTAAAATGTATGTAATGTTTTTTTTTCTTTTCTCCCTTAAGAATCTCTACATTCTTGGGGCTTGAGTGATAATACAGCAAGTAGGACATTTGCCTTGCACACAACTGACACAGGTCTGAGCCCCGGGATCCCATATAGTTCCCCAAGCACTGCCAGGAGTAATTCCTGAGAGCAGAGCCAGGAGTAACCCCTGAGCATTGCAGGGTATGACCCAAAAAGCAAGCAGGCAGGCAGGCAGGCAGGCAGGAAGGAAGGAAGGAAGGAAGGAAGGAAGGAAGGAAGGAAGGAAGAAAAGATCTCTACATTCTTTATTTCTTCTACCTGCAGTCTGTTTCATCCATTATTTCTTTTCTGTAGCTTGTTTTCTCTCTTTTGTTAGAAATTTTCTTCAGATGCTGAGTAACTCTTGGATTTCTCTTTGTACTGAAGAGGTTGTACTAAAAGGACAACTAAAGATAGAAAGAATTGAAAACATCATCTAGTACAATGGATAAGGCACCTTGCACGTAGTCAGCCAGGTTCAATCACCAACACCCCTATGGTCCCTGAGTCCTACTAGGAGTGATCCCTGACCATCACCCTCATGTCCTGCCCCCACAAACAGAATTAAAACATTTGTTCACGCAAAGGATTTTTCTAACAAAATAGGAAAGTTTCCAAATAAAGGTGACTTCATTATAAAATAAAATAAAATACTGAAAGCAGTAGGAGCAACATTGCAATAATTTACACAGAGTAAGAATTTTGCAAGCACACCTGAGACTCTGTAACATGCTACACCCTCTAAATAGTTAGACTAGGTAAATAGGAGCACAAAGGAAAAGGAAAATCAAGGCAACATCCAGAAAATCAATAAAAAATAGGCGTGGGAAATCTCTGTCTTAGAGAAGGTGTAATGCAGAGCATTAAATAGTGTGTCCCCTACCCATTTATATTCACTTGCCTCATAAAAATCTTATTTGAGGAGTGGAGATGTTGTACATCTGGTAGGACCCTTGCCTTGTAGGTGGCTGACCCAGGTTCAATCCCTGATACCCCATAGGGTTCCCTGAACACTACCAAGGGAAATTCCTGAGTGTAGGGCCAGGAATAAGTCCTGGGCACTGCCAGGTGTGGCCCCAAACACCCCATTCTCCTCACTTCCTGAACACCACCACCCACACACACAAGAAATTATTTGAAAGGTATTGCAAAGAATTGTCACCCCATTCTCCTCACCGCATCCTTCCACGCACCTTTCCCTCCCACCCTCTGCCACCACACACAAGAACTTATTTGGAAGGTATTGCAGCGATTTATCAAAGACTTTTTTTTTGTCAAAGGCTTATCTTTACAGAGATAATTAAGATAAAAATTGGGCTAAAATTATATTGGATTAGGGTGATCCCTAAATTCAGTGAAAATATTCTTAATAAGGGATAGAAAAAAAAAACAGACACAGGAGGGCCAGAGATAGTCTAAATTTCCAGCAAGTTTTGGAGATAATCCAGGTTATCTTGCATGCAGTCAACTCTAGTTTGAATCCCTGGAACCACCTATGGTTCCCTGAGCACCACCAGGGGTCATTCATCATTCATGAGCACAGAGCCAGGAATAGTATAGGAATAGTCCTAAATACTACAACTGCTCTCTAAACACACACACACATGCAACATACACACATGTGTTATCAAAAGCAGAGACTGGTGTGGGATACCATTTGTTCTACAAGCCACAGGATACTATGAGGACCCAAAAGCTGAAACTGGAAAGGAAGATTCCTTCCATCGGAAGAAGTTTGGTGCTGACATTGGACTTCCAACCTCCATAACTGAGAGGAGACTTTGTTTATTAGTCCATGAAGCCTGTAGTAATTTGTTAGAGCAGTCCGTAAATCTACAGAGGTACAAGTTAACTGATAGTTCTTTTACACTACTAATCAGGATATGTGACTAAAAATAAATATCATTGCCAGTCATCCACGAGTGATGTAGAGAAGATGGTATAAGATGCCCCCAGGGGAGTTTTGGACTGCAAAGAGCACATTACATCATAAATCACTAGCTAGCGCTCTCAATTCCATGCTGATTATGGGTCAGTACCAAGGTTCCAGGTGACCTGGGAAATAAATACAGGCTACCACGAACAGCCACAAGTTAAACTGACCTTACCCAATTTCATATCCAAAAAATTAGCCTAGGTTCCTGGGGTGAGAACAGAAAGAACCTAGCTCAACTTGAATTGCCATCCAGATGCTAGAAGTTATTGAATAGAATTTCTTCCCATCCTTAATTTATTCATTCATGTAATGAGAACATTGATTAAATCATTGTCTACAGCTATCATCGTCTATTGAAGGACTCTATGGAGAGTTGGTGTAACTCTTACCTAGATTCCAGAAAGAGGGAAGTGAGTACTTTTCCACAAAATTTTTACAAAATTTTCATTAACTTTTACATCACGGTCCTAAGGCTAGCTCTTTAAGGTTGATGATTTGTTAGGTTGTGGTTTCATAAACAGTTTACTTAGAATCATAGTTTGGTTTTTTGTTTGTTTGTAACCAGAACCACTCAGATTCCATCCTTCCCTCTCATTCTTCAAAGGAAGAATGAGCATCAGTAGTAAATGGTATCTGCAAAAACAACACCTAGAAACGGCTTCATGCTTAGGAGAGGATGCTTTGGTTCCTACTCATGGTTCTGGTGTTCTACATGGTCAGATAAACTTCTCTAGCAATGAAATATAAAAATGATTCCTGAAAAATAAAGTCCTCAGAATCATTATATTTTTTTACAATGAAAATTATACAAGTTGAACTTGATAGAGGGTAAAAACACACATTCATCCATTCAGGAAAATTCAATTAAGTCATGGTGTCCAGGATTTTTACTTTTATAGGCATACAAAAATACTTTTAAGCACAAATATTCTAGAGGTTTTGTATTTTAGCCTTTATTTCTTTTCTTTTGAGGGGCCACAGCTGATGATGATCAAGTGTTACTCCTGGCTCAGCACTCAGGAACTACTCCTTTCAAGGCTCAGGGAATAATATTGGGTGTCTGGGCCAAGAGCCCTACTCACTATACTATCACCCCAGCCCCTGCACCCGACAGTCATGAGACACTTTAATATCAATAAATCAGTCATGTTTTACAACATTGAGATAAAGGTCTTTAGACTCCACTTTTTTAAAAGTTAAAATCTAAAATATTGTTTGACACTTTAAGTAGGGCGTACTTTGAAGTTTTAGTTCAGTGATTAAGTCATTTCAACCGTTCAGTATCTGGAGTATCAGTTCCATAAAATTATAATTTTTTCTTATATAACAATTCTATTTTGCACTTAATTCTACTTCTCACTTAGACTTACACTGAATATAGATATTTTCAATGCCTATAAATCTAGCTTATTCTTTTTTAATGGTAGTCTTCCCTTCTTTGGCTAAATAAAACATCAATCTCCTAAATGTGATCATTTAAGTTTGCTATTTCTAGCAAAAACATATGTATTATTTTATTGTTGTTTGTAAGATTATCTGATATTTGGGGTGGCAATAAGTTACTGAAATTATTTAAAATAATGTTCCTCATAAATTTATTTCTATGAAAATGTCTATTTTTCCTGCTATATGCTTATGGCACTAGAATAAGATTTTTCCCACTGACCCCATTTCTAGTAAAAATTTTAGTTAAAAATCAGTTCTGACTTTAAAATACAAACAATTTTTTTAATCTACAAAATAAACTTGTATTACTTGCTTATTTACAGATTTTTACCTGCCCTTATGGCAAGATTAAGATCTTTTTCTTTCTTTTGTTCTATTTTTTGGCTCAAACCTGGTGATGCTCAATACTTACTCCTGGCTCTGTGCCCAAGGATCAATCCTGGTGGGACGTCGGGGACCATATGTGGTGTTGAAGATTGAAACAGACTGGCTGCATGCAAGGCAAGTGCCTTACTCACTGTACTCCATCTCTTTCCAAGCTAAAATTTGTTTTAATCAATAAAATTTTTAGGAAACTTCTCTGAGAACTGTTGTAGTAGGTGTCTCCATTTAAAAAACAATTTACTCTATCAATTAAAAAAATGCTTCCAGTTGGATGCCAACATATTTTTCATTTTTTCTCTAGACCTGAAAATGGAAATATGTCCAATCTGAAAGTAAAATTTTATATGAAAACTAATGCAGAATAGTGCAATACACTCTATATATCAATAGGAACTTGTAACATACAACAGGGTTAGCACTGATTTTATTTAATGTAAAATAAAAACTCATTACACTTTTAGATTCAGTATTCTAGCTTTCACCCCACGCATTTTGTACAGCACTAAGGAATGATTATAACTTGCCTAGTAGTGTAATTGCTTTCTAAGTATCTAGCTAAAATACTGATATACAAAGTCCTATTTTTTTTGAAATATGAATTGTGCTGATAGATTTTAAGATTTTTTTTAAAGACTAAACCTTAAGCACATAATACCCACAAAAGTTTTTTTAAGTTAGGAATTTGTATTTACTTTTGAAATGCTTTAAAAAAATCCCTATCTTTCTTGGCATGTTACACTACACAGAATTATTTCCTGGTACACTCTGGAACTGACCCAAGTCACAAAGTTGCTGGTCTTATTCTTCTGTAAGAGAAGGAAAATATTAATTTAGAGCCCAGGATGGATCCGCTTCGAGTTAATTCCATGTGAGCAAGTATGAAAAATAATGTTTGTTCTAGGCCTAAGGAGAAGAGAAAGGAGTATGATGCAGGAGGAAGTGTGTAAAGAAAACATTTGGTTGGAAGGAAAAGGCTACTAGGAGTAAACTTCAGTCTTTTCCCCCTAGGGCATACTTCATTTTAGGGGCTTAATTATTTTCTGGGCTGGAGTGATAGCACAGCATTAGAGCGTTTGCCTTGCACTCAGCTGGCCTGGCCAACCCGGGTTCAATTCCTCTGCCCTCTCAGAGAGCCCGGCAAGCTACCAAGAGTATCTCACCTACACGGCAAAGCCTGGCAAGCTATCCATTATGTATTCGATATGGCAAACACAGATTTTGAACCAATACTAACTTACCAAGTTTACAATGCGTTGAGGATTCTTTTTTCTTCTAAAATAACTACTTCCAAGTTCTAAGGATCTTTTATTACTTCATATACTAGGAACGTTCAAACATCTAATTTATAAATCTAAGTTCTATTAATTTCCTTTATGATTTAATAAACCACTTACATAGGTGGTCATTCGTTTAAACACAAAAATCCAAGTGCAGAAATCACAATGGAAGTGTTTTTCCAAGCTTTGTGCACAGCTTTTACTGGAAAGTTGGTGGTGAACATGGTGAAGTTTAAAATTATAATTTTAAACATAAAAAGCCGAAGACCTCCTGAACCAGCCACCACCATGCTGAGACCATTCTCCGCACACATGAAGGTACCGGCAGAGGAACAAAGGCATGTGGGTCCCGGGGCTGAGATCTCCAAGCCTACTCCGATCGGGGCTGAGCATCCTCTACTCAGATCCTCCAAATTCCAGTAGGCGGGGGTCACACCTACCAACTGGCCCCCTGGTGCCGTGTAATCCCATCAACGACCAAGACTCAGAGACTATAAAACCCAGCTCCCAGAAGCGCGCGGCCGCATTTGTGGCTGCGCGACATCTTATCATCTCATTCCTACTTTGGACAACCTGGCAGGCTACTGAATGTAACCTGCCCACACGGCAGAGTCTGGCAAACTCCCCATGGCGTACCCAATATGCCAAATACCAGTAACAATGATGGGTCTCATTCTCCTAACTCTGAAAGAGCCTGAATATGGCACTTTTTAAAAATCTCAGGGCTAGGATGAAGGAGACGTTACTGGGGCCTGCTCAAGGCAATCGACAAATAACAGGATGGTCATGATCGTGATCGTGAAACATAAAAATCAAATTTTACTTTCTAAGAAAGAAATTTTATTCTAAAGTTAGGAAGTAATTCATGAAATTGAGGGAAAGGCCAGAAAACCAGGATCACAGAACATCAAGCCAAGGAAAGCTTGAAAGCAGAGATTATAAAATGATATACTTACTGGTATATAGGTTCATATATATATGTATGTATATATATGTTTCAAAAGAGCAAGCAAAAAATTGCTTGCCTATTTTTATGAGGGTTTTATGTACATTTTATACATTCTGACGTAGTGTCTTCATTGTTGTTAAACCTAAGTGTTCTTTTTATTAGTGAAACACCATGAGGTACAGTTATAGACTTATAAATTTTTGTGCTTGAGTTTCAGTTATACAATGATCAAGTACCCATCCCTCCACCGATGCCCATCCTCCACCACCACGGGTCCCAGCATCCCGCCACCCCCCATGCCCCCCATCACACCCAGCCTCTGTGGCAGAGCATTCCCCCTTGTTCTCTCTCTCTTCTTTTGGGTACTGTGTTTTGCAAGAGAGGCTTTGAGTGGCAATCATGTTTGGTCTATAGACTACTTTTAGCATGCTTCTCCCACCCTGGAAGGGTCCTCACAACACCCTTTATTTGGTGCTCTCTTCTCTATCTGAGCTTCCTTTTCACCTACCTAGCACATGTGGCTGGCTTTCAAGTCATGGAGCAAAATTCCTGGTACTAATCTCAGCCATTCCTAGGTGTTAGTCTCCCTTTTTGTTGCTTTATGTTCCCCAGATGAATGCAATCTTTCGGTGTCTATCCCGCTCTTTCTGACTCATTTCGCTTAACATGATACTTTCCATGTAGTACCACTTGTATGTAAATTTCATAACTTCATCTTTTCTAACAGCTACATAGTACTCCATTGTGTAAATGGTTAAAGTTTCTTTAACCAGTCATCTGTTCTCGGGCACTCAGGTTTTTTCCAGATTCTGGCTATTGTAAAGAGTGCTGCAATGAACAAACAATTGCAGATGTCACTTCGACTATACCGTTTTGCCTCTCTGGGATATATTCCCAGGAGTGCTATAGCTGGGTCAAATGGCAGATCAAATTCTAATTTTTTAAGAATCGTCCATACTGTTTTCCAAAAGGGTTGGACCAGCCGGCATTCCCACCAGCAGTGAAGGAGGGTCCCTTTCTCGCCACATCCGCACCAGCACCGGTTGCTTTTGTTCTTGTGGATGTGGGCCAGTCTCTGTGGTGTGAAATGATATCTCATTGTTGTTTTGATCTGCATCTCTCTGATGATTAGTGATGTAGAGCATTTTCTCATGTGCCTTTTTGCCATTCAGATTTCTTCTTTGAGAAAATTTCTATTCATTTCCTTGCCCCATTTTTTGATGGGCTTGGGTGATTTCTTTTTGTGGAGTTCAACCAGTACCTTGTATATCCTTGATATCAACCCCTTGTCGGATGTGTATTTGGTGAATATCCTTTCCCATTCTGTAGGCTGTCTTTGTATTTTGGTCACTGTTTCTTTTGAGGTGCAGAAGCTTCTTAGTTTAAGATAGTCCCATTTGTCTATCTCTGTTTTCACTTGCTCGGCCAGTGGCGTGACATCTTTGAAGATATCATTAGCTTCAATATCATGGAGAGTTTTGCCAACTTTGTCTTCAATAAACATTATGGATTTGGTCTGATGTTGAGGTCATACATCTATTTCTATCTTACTTTTGTGTATGGTGTTAGGCAGAGATCTGAGCCCACTTTTTTGCATGCAGCCGTCCAGTTTTGTCAGCACAGTTTATTAAAGAGGCTTTCCCTGCTCCATTTCACTTTTCTTGCCCCCTTATCAAAGATTAGATGATTATATGTTTGGGAGGAAATGTCAGTATAT